ACGAACGTCGCGTCAGCCTCGTGAACTTTCTGGACAATGGTCCTATATAGTTCTTCCATCGGAGCTGGTCCCAGTGTGACTTGTTCAAGGAAGATGCACATTCCTGAGAAGTCCGCACGGCAGAAGTCTCGAAACCACGTTTGAGGTTTTGGATTTCCGGCATAATAGCAGATGAAATCAAAGGTCAGCACACATTGGTTGCCATGTCCTATTGGAGCGTTAATTGTTACCTGATCAACAAAGTGCCTTTCGTCGGTGATGATCAAATCCAGGAGGGATGTTATTTGGCATGCGCGGTTTCTGGTGTGTGCCCCAATGTTTTTAACCTCACCGTCAATAGGGTGTTACCGTGCTCCATGGTACTGCCAGTTCAAACGCGCTTACCTTTTTACATAAACACAATCACTGAAGTTACCCGCAAAATCATGCTCTCAAGGCCAAGCCTAAAATATATAATTTGACACCGGTCCATCCGTAGCGTTTTACGTAATTCTTTTAAGGCATTTATTTACTTATTTTTGGCTGACTCTCTATTGCTGCATCCACTATTATCTTTGACTCCAGTCAACTGGTTGGGCTTTCTTTTGACTCCTGAGTCTGCCAGCATCACAATGTCCGCCCACTTACAGCTAGAGATCCTAAAGCTAACAGGAAACATAAACAACTCTACCGCTCCCATTATAACTTGCAACCTCCCCAACTATAGCCATATCAGCACCCTCAAATAAGCCTAAGACTTCCCGCGGCTCCCACACTTTAATTCAGGAAAACCAAAACAGAGCAGCGTTGCTGTTTGTCTGTAGATGGATTGGCCTTGTCCCGGTTGTCACTTGTCCCACAACACCAAGAAATACAAGCGGGTGACAGCTGTCCTCCCGTTTGTTCTAAAAAAAGAATGTAAAAAAGCATTCATGCAAGGGGTAGGCTGACAGTACCTGTGATCCTTAATCTTACTTTCATGTTAGGTTGATGTAGTAGACCTCAGTTGAGCTACTATTCCTACTACTTCTCTGGGAAGCTGTTGCCTGTCCGCCCTTCACTTGTCCACTGACACTGCTGACAGTCATTATATTTTTCTCCTCGCCCCTTTTCCCAAGCTTCAATCCTCGACCGCAGTTGCCCAAACGCCCATTAGAACTGTTATTCACTCAAACTGGTTGGTTCCCTGTCTACA